GCTTTGCAGTGAGCAAAGGACTTCAGATTGGGGATGCAAAATCCTGGATAATTGGTTAACCAATTAAACTTACTGTTTATCTGGTTTCACATATTATTTATCCATTTAATTTGATTAAGGGAGGTCGGACACGCCGCTAGGCTGGAGCTGCCCCCTCAGCAGGCAGGAGTTACTCCAGCCCAGCCGAAGCAGCCTCTGACTGCAGAGTGCCTGGGCTGAAGCAGCCCCCACTGATTAACCAGAACTGGAAAGCATCACCCGTTAAGGCTAACCTGTTAACCTTTTACATTGCTACTTCAGACTAGGCAGCCCATTCTCTAATTGACGTTCTTTAACTAGCACCCTGTCACTTTGTTCAATCATTGTACTCTTAGTGATTTCCAAATAGCTTATCTATCAAAATTACAACAACTAGAGTCATGTCTGTGGTAAGAGGTTTGAATCACCTCTAGATCAAAGAAATGTACCTCCTCACATACCTGTTTACTTTTAGGAAGATTTAAATTTGAGTCCTCTGTTGATACTAAAAGCTGGAAAGGTCATTGTGTCACTTGTAAAAATTTGAATCATGCACATTAAAGTAAAATATGGTAGTTTTAACAAAAAGGTAACTGAAAATCCCAAAGTCTAATTCTACTAATCTTAATAGTATATCAAAAGTTGCATTCGCTGATGAGTATTTCTGGTAGTGGAAGAGGATATAAAAATGATAGATGGAATGCAAGCAATTTTTATTCACGTGAAGTCAATCTTAGGTTTACATGAAAATTTCATTTCCATAACTCCTAGCCATCTTTCAAAACTGGTGGATGTTTATTCCACTCCCAGCATTTCCAGAAGCCATATATAGAGTGAACTAAATTATATCAAATCAGCAAAGGCATTTTATAAAAAGTAGTTGAAAGATTAAAAATGCATATTATGAAGTTAAGTGATTTGAAGGTTTAAAGAGAGAGAGAGACATGTGAAAGGGAAGTGGAGATGTCATCTAAACTGAAGTGAAGATACTGTTTAGATCATTGGTAAATGTATGCTAATTAGCTGTATAAAAGGGTGGAGTGCAATGTCAACCCAAACATAGCTCTGTTCCAGTGTTAAAATTTGATCTTGCTCTGGGATTTTAATCTTTATTAATGATTGGTGATTCTTGTTTTTTCAGGTGCAATTGCTGGTATTGTAGATCAACCAATGCAGAATTTTCAGAAAATATCTGAGGCCCAAGCTTCAGCAGGGCACAAAGCCAAAGGTGTTATCTCTGGTGTAGGAAAGGGAATTATGGGAGTGTTTACTAAGCCAATTGGAGGAGCAGCTGAACTTGTCTCCCAAACGGGCTATGGTAAGTTTCAATGATTTTGAGATCTCAGTTTTAATTTTAAAGAATAGTCTTTAGATCTGGTCATGTGATACAGCCTGCTGTGCAGTTTATATGAATCAATAGCTATTTTCCTTGTAGAAAGTTTTTAAATATCACATCTAAATGGTTATAAATGTTGTCTTTCTCACTTAGAAGTCATCCTGTCGTGCTCTCTTACACTGAGTTCACAGTCTTGTGTAGCACCAGAAACATAGAATGTACCAACTATTAAGTCATTCTTGAAAGCCAGGAGAATTAGTTACAGAAACATATGTACTGCAAGAGAGTTTTCAACAGTAAATGTAATGCAGGAATAATATATCCAATTAGAGCATTATTTTGATGGTATTTGCTGTAATTGACCAAAGAAAGAGGTGTGTTTTCTTTAGATAAAGAATCTGTGAGGAAAAAAATGAATTATGTGATGGAAATATCCCATTTAAATTATAGTGCTTCCTGATAAGGAATTGAATTCTGATTTTGGATTTATAGATAGAACCTCTCTGGTCTAGCACACTTTGGTCTGGCAGCATCCGTGGTCTGGCATGATCTTAGTTAGCTGGATGCCCAATTATCTTATGTGTGGCCAAGTTTCCCACGGTCCCATAAAGTTTGTTTACAGCCATCAGTCCTGGTTCTCAGTGTTCTGTAGCTCTATTATGAAGGTCCAGAGAAAAACAATGAAAATTATTGAAGATCTAGAAAACATGACCTGTGAGGGAAGACTGAAAGAATTGGGTTTGTTTAGTTTAGAAAAGGGAAGACTGAGGAGACATGATAGCAGTTTTCAAGTATCTAAAAAGATTTTACAAGGAGGAGGGAGAAACATTGTTCTCTTTGACCTCTGACAATAGGATGAGAAGCAATGGAGGTTTAGGTTGTTCAAGGGAGGTTTAGGTTGGACATTAGGAAAAACTTCCGAACTGTCAGGGTGGTTAAACACTGAAATAAATTGCCTAGGGAGGTTATAGAATCTTCATCACTGGAGATATTTCAGAACAGGCTAGACAGACATCTAACAGGGATGATCTAGATGGTGCTTGGTCCTGCCACGAGGGCAGGGGACTGGACTTGATGACCTTTTGAGGTCCCTTCCAGTTCTAGTGTTCTATTATTGTATTTTATCCCTAAATGTCTTCTAAGAGCCCAGTAATCAGTGGAAGAGTTGGTAATGCTGCTAGATAATATTGACCTCCCATGGTCTGGCAAATTCCCTAATTCTGCACCAGTCAGAACCTCAGAGTGCCAGGCTAGAGAGGTTCAACCCTTACTGGTAACCCTTTATGAAAAAGGGATGGGCATGCCATGTAGTTCAAGCACTAACAGTAGCCATGGCAAATCCTTTCAGAGTTAGGTATGCATTTGGGGCCAGTAAAGTATATCAAAGAGGATCATAAAATGATCTAAACTTGCTAATAGAATTTGCTTCTGGTGTCATGAATCCTCAACTCCAAGACTAAAGTTAAAAAAAGATAGGATACACATTGAGGACATTCATCAATTAACTCCAACAATTTTTGTAATTTTTTTTTTTTTTTTTTTTTTGCTCCTAGAGTGGTGCTTTTAATCTGTCAACGTTTTTTGTCCCTGGAATATGAGAAGCTTCCTCAGAGCTAAATTTTGAAAAATTATCTCCACACTTCCCTTTACACATGGAACATCTCCCTGACGTAATTTAGGAGCTAATAAATAATAAATGACAAGCAAACATGCTTGGTAATCATTTTTATATCGTGTTAGTAAAAGGGCTTGTGTACAGCTCACTCTCTTCTTCAGTGGTTTTGCAATTCTGTGGGCCTTTTACACTAGTGTGGCTCTGGAATAATTCCTCCAAAATCTTCATTCCACAAGTGAAAACTGATGTCAGTGAGACCAGAATCTGGCCCTAAGTTGTGGGAACAATGTTCTTTTTGTTAACTGTAGAATTATTGTTTCTAGATTTAATCCCAAAGCACAATCATTATTAAACTACAAGAAATCCATAACCACAGGAGGACAGTTTTCACTGCAGATATTGTATACAACACATCATGTTTTCCATGAACAAATGACAGAAAGAGTTAGCCAAGGAAAGACATAAAAATTATATCAATAATAAATGGCAATGTGTGAGAGAGAAACACACAACAGTGAGAGTGACTCTCAGCCACAACTAGATTGGAAGTTGGGTTTGTGCCTCTTGGGATGGACCTTGGGGTGGGGGACCACACAGAAATGAACACATGTTCTCTCTCCATCTGTAAATGACATTTCCACTTGCATAACACTGAGAACTTGAAAAAGCCAATTGTTACAAGTGGGAAGCTTCTTTTAAGTATTACCACCAACATGTGTGTTTAAAAAAATAAGTATTTTTTCAAATACTTGTGTTTTGTTTAAATTATTATCCATTTTATAAAAAGGAATGTAAGTTACTGACATCCTTATGTAAAAATGCTTATTGCTTCATTGGAGTGCTTAATTTAGTAGTCATTTTCCTCTATTGTTTACTTATGAAGGACACTGCACTATACCTTGTTACACTGCTCCTCAACTCTTAACCTAATTTGTGTCACTCTTGTTAAAGTATTTATTATATCAATGAAGTTTTTTTCAAACAAGTAATTCATTGTCTAAAGACCATATCTCGTTTATAAAAATGTACAAGTGATCTGAAAGCATTCATGCTGTATCATCTTCTGCTCTTGATATTCTAGTTGGAGACCTGTTTAACTGCTTCTTGTAGTCTTCATTCAGTGCTGGCACAAAGAAAAATGTATAATAAATCAGATACCCCAGGAGATCTCATAAATGTATATAGATCCATGTTTAACAGCTGGTTTAAGTAACTTAACATTTAAATGCAGTACCTAGGCAAACTTCTCTTCTAATTTTTACCAATCATCTCACATATGTGGAAGTATTTTAATATTAAACAAGAAAGCTAACAGTAGTCTTGACTTTTTATATATAAATTGTACATGATCGGTCTGATCCCATTTTGGAATGATGGCTCTCCAGGGCATTACGTTTCTCCTAATTGCTAGTGTATGACTGACTTTTAGAACATTCTTTTGTTTTGTTTTTGTTTGTTGCTAAGGGTTAAATGCACAGCTATTGCATTGTAATGTTTAATGAATTATCTTTATTACAGCGTCCCAAGATGTGACATCAGTTTGTATCTGCACTATTTTATGGATCGCTCTAAACAGATGACATCACTGAAACATGTAACTGTTTTCCAGAAAACAACCATTAAAAATCTTAAATTCTCTTACCACAGGTATTTTGCATGGAGCTGGACTTTCTCAGCTTCCCAAACAGCGCTACAAACAGCCACATAAAATATGTCTGGTAAAATTATTTAGACACTTACTCATTTTTATATCCACATTGTTTATTAATAGGTTCTGGCTCATGGTCAAGTTAACAGGCTTCTTCTGTAGGAAAGGCTGAGTTATAGCTATTTATTTAGGAAAGTTAAACACAAAGGTACTGCATAGAAACCCAATCTGCAAATGATGGACTGCTGATCTGCTTCCAGCTTGAGGACTGCAGAGCTAATCTTTATTTAATGACATTCAGTAAGTTTTTACTTATTTATCATTGCACTGAGACCAAGAAAAATACTGCACATCTCCAGAAATAGCTGTCACTGAAGATAGGTTTATTTTCTGCCTTGGATTTGGATCCAGCTTCTCAGGGTGATTTCTCTATTGGGATGAAAAATTGGTTGACCTAGGTGAATGCAATTATGAATAGCCATGAAGTTATTATGTCAGTTTTGCAGCAAATCATTAAGGAATTATGATAAACTTTTACAGAATAAATATGAAACCTTATAATTTAAATTTTACACATGAGTATTGCAGAAAATGTGGTATTAGTTATTTTAACAAAATAAACTTCAGCTTATCTTGTATTTTTAGGTGGGAGTTGCAATCTTAAGTGAAAACCTAAAAGAACAAAAGTGAGTTACTACCATACAAATCCAATTTCTAATACTGACTGTTTTTATTAAACAGGAAAATGCTTCAGTCTCTAGGAAGGCCAGAGGTCCATATGGCACTGGATGTGATAATTGTGAGTGGATCAGGACAAGAACATGAAGGATGCTTGCTACTTACATCAGAAGTGCTATTTGTGGTCAGTGTCAGTGAAGACACACAACAGCAGGCATTCCCTGTGACTGAAATTGAATGTGTAGAAGACCATCAACGAAAAAACCTGCTGAAGGTGCAGCTCAAACAAGAAAGAGTGCCTTGTGATTTGGAGGTAAAGACATTCAGTAATATCTTCATTTAAAGAAGCTTCAGCGGGTAGCCGAGTTAGTCTGTACACAGGGCTGGCCTTACCATGAGCCGAGGGTGGGGGGGGGGGGGCACCTCTAGGACCCAGAGTGTAGAAAATTGTGTCTGCTGCTGGTGCAGCAAGGGGGCATGAGGGTGCATTTGAGCTCCTTGCCTCAGGTGCCAAAATGTTGTGGGCCGCCCTGTCTGTACAGGAAAAAACAACAAATGGTCTGGTAGTACTAACAAAACATGTAGATGGTATCATGAGCTTTTGTGGGCACAACCCACTTCAGATGACTGGAATCATACAAAGGAAGGAGGAAATGAATACACTGAAAAAGCAGAGAATGGTGAAGTTAAAGAGCTAGAGTGCTCTTTCTCGGACTTCCTGCTGTGTAGATAGCACCAAAAGCCAAAATAAGCTGTTTCGACTTAAGCTACATAATTGACGTAGCTCAAGTTGCGTAGCTTATTTCGGCTTTAGCCCTGCTGTAGATGTGCCCTAACTGCCAAGAGATTGATGCTCTAATTCCTCTCTATGAAGCATCATAATCCCTTCATTATTTGTTATCCCATATGTACTTCCCACTCCCACAGGATGGCCTCAGTCTTGATTAGTTTTGGTTATTTGAAGCTCTGTAGGACAGATAGATAGGAAGACTCCTGTGGCTGCTTCTTGGAATTGTTCACCATCTGAGGGACTCAGTACCTGCTTTAGGACCAGTACTTGAGTTTGCATGTGTTCCAGTGAGTAAGTTTCATCTTCAAAAGGAACTTGTGGCGCTCTATGGTGTATTTCCAACACATGCAACCAGAAGACCTAGAAACTAGGGATATTCGTCTATGGACAGTCTTTGGTTTCTTATGAGCATAGTAATCGGGTTCCAAATGTTTTCAGTTCTGTTCAGTAAGGGGTAGATTTGGCCACAGATGTATCGATATCCACACCCTGATGAGCAATGTTCATGATGGGGGGTCAGAAAGCTTTTCTTAAAGCACTCCAGTCCCCAAGTTGCGTCACTGTGAGCTCCTGCTTTAGTCAAGGTTCTGATCAAACTGTGTCCAAGAAAGGAAACAGATGAGTGAAATGTAACTATGACCACACCAACATCTTGGGAAACACTCTGAGAACCAATTAAAAGTCACATGGCAATGTTGTGGGCTTTGCTGTACACAAATATGAGTAAATGCTGGTGAAATGGTGGTATGGGAATATCCACATGAGCCCTGTTAGGCCACCTGAGGCACAGAAATCTCCTTGGAATAGGAATGTGTCTGCCAAGGAAAAGGGAGTCTCCATCCAAAATCTCGTTTTCATCATCTGTTTTTCGAGCTGTTTGAGTCTGACTCTCCCTCCCCCCCCCCATCTATTTTGGAATTATGAAGAATATGCATTATGTATTTTTGTCAGTCTCCCTACATTAGTGGCTTCAGGTGAATGCACATTCAACATGTTAAAACAAGTAATGAACTAGCATCATTCTACAATGGGACAAGGAGGTTTGAATGGGCTCACAATGGTTAACATTTCAGAGGGGTAGCCCTATTAGTCTGTAACTGGAAAAACTTAAAAAACAACAAATAGTCTTGCAGCATCTTACAGACTAACAAAACATGTAGATGGTTCCGTGGGCACAACCCACTTTGTCAGATAAATGGAGTTTAAGGGGTCCAGTTTTCAAATAAATAGCACAGAGCTATTAATGGTTAACATTAATTAACATTAACTCTTAATGGTTAACATTAACAGTGATGTTGCATGTAAACTAGGTTTTTCTTCAATTATAAACAAGTTTGCACACAACGAAGTCGGAAAAGCATGCCTAAAATGAAGAGTTTTGCTTGCGGTGGAAACTCAGAATTAGTTACATTTTTAATATACATGCTTTTGGTATAGTGACTTAATTATTAATAAAGAAATGTCACAAGTGTTCATTTTCATATTTATTGTTTGGTTTTAGTATGGTCCCGTAGATGAGAAGTTAGATACATCAGAGGCCTGGGGGTGGGGTTGGGCCTCTCAACTCAAAATGGCCCCAGCCTCTGTCATTCTCTGAGAGGGCCTGACTCCAGCAGTTAGGAGGCATTTGCATGGAATGTAGAACCAGGTTCAAGTGTCTGCTTCAGAATCTGGTAGAGTAGAGATCTGACTGTGGGTCCTCTGCATCCCTGGTGAGTGCCCTAATCACTGTGCTACAAGGTACGTCCATCTCTCTCTTTCTCTGGTGCAATAAATAAATTAGTTATACAATGAGGAACTGCTCCAACTGGGTGAGGGGAATCAGCAAGAGACTACTTGGTGGTTAGGGCACTTACCTGGAATGCTCTGAATCAGGCAGAATAGGGACTTGAACCATCTCATACATCCCAGGTACATACCTGACCATTGCATTGTTGGCCTTGGGTATGTGTTTGTCATTTTTCAAAAGTTCTCATTTTTGTTCTTCATTGGAACAAAAACCAATCTTGAAACCTTGACAAACACAATTTTTTACTGGTCCACCAGGCCAGGGATTTGAGAGCCCCATTCAGGATCTTTATGTGGGGGAGACTTTGGATCTTTTAAGGGATTTTTCCTTTTGGCTGATCTTATGTGGGACCTCCTCCTTGAGCTGGCTGGGTAGCTTTCTCTGCTCAGAAGCTCCTGGTTGGAGTCACAGCTCTTTGGAGAGGATGTGTCCTCACATGCCAGTTCAATTCTGAGCCCTCTGACCTGGCAGTGTGATGGTTGGCTAGGAACAGGCAGGATATAATTCACTCTCTGAAAAGCCTGTGAGTGCAGCCTCATATTTAGAATTCTGCTTTGATTTAGTCTGGCATTTGCTGGACTGCTCTGCGGTTGTCTGAGGGGGACATGGGTGTCCCACAATAACAACTCTGCAACAACTGTGATCTGAGTACCTAACAAACACCAACCTGAGCCATGTGGGGTGGAGGAGGAGGAAAGATTATAAATTGTTCACTGCTGCCCAGAAAATGAATTAGAAGTCAAACTGGCAACAGAAATGATTGGAGCAGACCACACTACTACTAACTGCTGCCACATATGCAGACGGTCTGGTGGAAAGCTGGAGAAAGGAGATACTGAACTCCCACCAAAGCTGTAGAAGAGGGAAGTAACTCATGTAACACAGAAGTGTGGGAGACACTGAGCTGTAGAAAGATTGAAACATCACCGATGTATGATAACAAATCAATGCAGAAGTATCTTTGCTGGGTCTGAATACTAAGTGCCAATACTTTACATTCCAATAATAAAGCTGTGTTATCTGATTTTAGGTGGATGGAGTTAGAGAAAGACTCTCCGAACAACAATATAATCGACTTGTGGACTTTGTCACAAAAGCATCCTACCACCTTGTTCCAAGCTACTTTTCTGGACAAACTACATCCCAAGTTGTAGCTGCAGAGCCCCTTCCAAGTACAATTAAGACATATCAGTACCTAGTTGATCCAAATTTTGCTCAGGTATTCATTAGTAAATTCACTATGGTAAAAAATAAAGCCTTGCGGAAGGGATTTAATTAAGAACAACTTTATGACAAGAATGATTATGCATTACCTTTTTTAAAGTCATGCTTTCTATGCAGTCACCTAACTGTGAACTTTTCTAATGCCAATTTTATGGGGTGGTGGGTTATAGGAAAATTAAGAGCTGGCTTTTCTGAACTGACAACAAGGGATTCCTGTTCTCTAAAAAAGTTGTTAGCACTAACAGGCAGGTATTACACAAAAGGGAAAGGTGATAACTGAATGAAAATAGTTTGTTCTTGCTCTAAGCAGAAATAAGAGAAAAGAAGACAAAGGAAATCCTATTCATTGATACATTTTGCCATCAACAAAATGAAGCTATTCCTGCCTACTATATCATATTATAGCGCTTACCAGTCTCTGATATAAGCAAGGCTTTTGACTGAGTTCTAAAACCTCTCTCAACTCTTTTTTTCCCCAATGTCCTGAAGCAAAACATATTCCCCTACTAAACTGATGTGGCCCTTTTAAGTTACTAGAGATAGCTGGGTTTTAACACCTCTCGCCTTAAAATAGCTCCATTTTATTTGACTGAAATTTTGCAGATTAAACTAGTGCCTTGTTTGGTCTAAAGAACACAATGAAAATGAGAACTTTAATTTACTTTTAAAACTGTCTGTCTACAGAAACTTTATTGTATCCACCAGTCAAATTTTCATAAGAATTTTCAATCTGTTGTGGATTAAGATGGTAATATGTAATTATGTTAGGGAGACAGGAGCAGTTATAATTCTGAGGCCGGTAATGTGTGTTAAAAAGCTTTAGGAGCTATGTTTATTAATATGTACCAAAAATTCATAAACACTGTACTCCTTTGAACCCAACTGCTAAACTTCATCCTTAGCTCATCATGTTAGGCTCTACTATTTCTGGACTCTCCAAATCGTACTCACAGTGCTTCATTGCTTTGACCAGCTGTAATACAATTTTACGCCTATCAATGTCAGAAACCAGGAAATTCAGAGTCCAGACCATTCCAAAATATTTGTGCATAGAAATTATACCCTATTTTGCACAGAAGTGCAATTGCAAAGTGCTTAGAGTTAAATTCATTTGACATCATTGTATGAGAACTGCCCAGTGAAAACCACTGTATTTCAGCAAGATGGCTTTTCCCAGCTGTGCTTACAAATGACAATTGCTGTATCAGTTACATCAGTTTGAGATGGCACCTGTAATAATAGTAGGTAAAAAGCTTTGAGACAGAAGTTTGCTTTTCAAATTGTTCTTCAGCTTTTATTTTTCAAATCTGTGTTATAGTTTGTACTTGGTAATAACTGCTATCATAAGAGCAGTTAAGATTGTTTTGCAGAGCAAACAGCTTCATTTTTCAATGATAAAAGTAGACTTGATTCAGTTCTTTGTGAGCTTCTACTTTAAACTCTATCCATGACTGCTCCTTCTGACCATGAATTTCAGCACATGAACTACCTTATTTAGGATTCCAGATGTACTTGAATATAGCCAGTAACTAAGCATGTTAGGGACAGAGTCAACTCTGATAATTGCTGGTAGTGTTCGATAAATGCCATTTATTTAGCATTTCCTCTATATAGCTAATAATGGCCATAAAATTAGAATGTACTAATTGTGTGTTTTGCTCTGTTAAAGCTACTGCTGGAATTCATGTCTGGTAGGTACTGTAGTGATAAGGGAGACACACACAATTTGAATAGCCCATTGTGAAATGAACCTATCCATTATTGCTATTTCGTTCAGTTGTCTAGCTATGTGGTCATTGTTTGCCTTTAAATGACACTATTTAAAAATGTAAATATAGAGGCTTTATTTCTGAATCTTTCATGGTAAATAGATTACTACTAATTTTACATACTGATGCAGAAGTTGTAATATAACAAGATTGTTTAAAGTTAATAAAGTTATTCCTACAATACTTGGTTTCTTTGTGATTCACAAGTCGTGTAGTTAATGTTCTGGTCATTAGATGTGACACTGGATCTCCGAGAGCTCAACTCTCAGCAAGTTATTGCCCAGAAAATACTGCCAGCCATGAACATTTGAAATTCACATTTATATTTTTGAAGTAAAAGCTGATGACTAGAGAGCTGGCCAAATCAGGTGCTAAAGAGTTTTGACTGTGTGCAAAATTGTATGCTGCCATTTTGACCAGTACACAGACTAAAATAATTGTTCACCTAATAGAGCATTGGCTGGGTGTCAAAAACATGCACAACACACCTGTAAAACATTGAGGGGACACTGCAGGCTTTCTATCTAATACTAGTGGGATTATGCTGATATTTCATTTCTGAATTATGCTCTTCTTCTGGCAAAAAGAAACCATTGCACACTCCTGTACAGTAAAGCAAGCCCATGTATGTATTACATTAGGCAGAAGGTTGTTTCACCCCCTCCTGTGAATGCAGGTATGGAAATACTGTGGTAACTTCACATAAATCAGCCTCTCCTACACATGCTGTGTGAATGGTGAAAACAAAACTGTCCACAGATGCCTGAGAACAGCACTTAGCTGACTGAAGCTCTCCAGTTTGTGCTTTTACAAATATACCTGGCCTCATTCTTTGGGGCTGGAGGGACCAAAAAGCTCCATTTCATTTCTTTTTGAGTTTGTGCCTTGTTTAAGCTTTTGGCTTGCTAGCTTTGTTGTGGTGTTTACACTCCAGGAGCACATTCAAACATCTCAGGAAAGACCTTACATGGTTCCTGCTCAGTGTGTTATTTCACCTGACTAACAGTAGGTACAGGCCCATAAAAATCACCTTAACATTAGCATCCTAGCTGGTTTCTGGGTCAAGAATGCCTAGAAACAGCAAGCCACAGGCTGTGTGGATTAAGGCACAACTCAGTAAGCAAGGGAATGCGCAGTCAATCTATTCATGATCTGTAAAGATGTCACAAATGAAGGTAAGTGCTGGGGAATCTGTTTGCATTTTTTCCCTCTTAGCCCAGGTCAGAGCTACAGCTACACTGCAGGTTTCTTTTACAAAAACTGCACGTGTTTTGTGCAAGTAAATTTACAGTAAGCGTCAGAAAATAGGGCTTCTTGCACAAGAGTTATTCCTCACCCCACAACAAATAAGCCCTCTTGTGTAAGAGCTCTTCCACACGAAGGCAGTGTGGCCAGGCCACAGGGATTTCTTGCGCAAGAGAGCATCCACACTGCCATGAATGCTCTTGTGCAAAAGCACATCTCTTCCACAATGTGGACGTGCTTTTGCGCAAGAATTTTTGCACAAGAACCCACCAGTGTAGACAAAGCCCAGATGTGTGACTCACCTGATTTGTCTGGACCAGCTCAAAAGGTCACTAGGTCAGCGTTGAGGGCTGTCCAGACAATGTCCATTTAGCATGGTGCATTATACTTACTGAGCCCCCTGTCACAAAGGACTGAATATTTATCTCCTTGACAATTGTTTTGAATCTCTTAACTAGCACAGCAGGCACGCACATCTCTCATTCTTTGGTGAAGGCCAAAAAAACCCTTAAGCTAATAACTGTTGACCTGCTTTTCACCTTTGTTTTGGCTAAGCGGAGCACAAAAAATGATGGTGCTGTTCAGTGATTTAAAAAACAAAGCTTGTAACCGTTCCGGTCCAAAAATGCATCGGGCCATATTCATTAGCTTTTAAACCCTGATTCTTGGTGTGAAGCAATGGACTTTTGCTTCACTATGTTTAAAAAGCAGTAACACTCATGGAAAGTCCCACTCCTGGTCACTCAGCTCACCAACAGCCTGGCTAGCAGGCTCTATCCTACTCCCACCCCCCCAATTATCTGTAGCTGGGCCCATGCCCCAGGAAAGCCCAATATCCACCAACCTGAGGCACTGGCCAGAAAGAGTCAAGCCTTGCATGTACCAAAGCCTGGCACAGGGCAGCTTCTTTACCCCTTTAGCTAAGCTCTGGAATGGTGTACCATCTTAAGTAGAGCAGGATTGCACTGTCCCATAGAAACTCTCCCCTGCTAAGCCACATCTCTGGCTACATTCACTCTTGCCCCTACAGTCAGGTTTCCTGGGCCCAGGTGCACCCTTAGGGCTTCATTTCTTCCTCCCTATGCTACAGGGCAGTCAAGAAGGATTAGCAGCCTTTCTGCACTGTGCAGGTAGGAAGCAACAAGCTGCTTCTCAACAGAGGGGAGTAGGGGCTGGAAGGTTAGAACTCTGACCATTGGAAAAACAGTCCACATCATTCCTACATCCCCATTCCACTAGAAGTCATTCCCATCCCTTCCCCTTTCTCTTCACTACACTGTTTATTTTGCTGAGCTTTTTCATGAAGAAATTTTTGGCTGGCTATGGGAGACTATGTTCTCTGAACAGTTGGTATTAAAAGGGAACATTACTTTGAAGACACTATAGCTCTTTCTGTTCAAGCTAAACACTGAAGTACTTTCCTACATTCTAGCTCTAAACGTGACCATCACATTAGCTGAGGCTATCTTACATTAAACAAACATACTAAAGAGTGTTTCAATTACTTAGGCTACAAGTTGGAGACTGTACAACAGCATGGAGAATAGGGCTGAAGCACCAGGGTGATTGAGGCTAAGACTCACCCTATATTTCTAGATCTTATCAGTGATCAAATGGAATTATAGTTAACAGGTGGTGTTATCCCAGAACCAAAGAAAATTCAAAACAAAAAGATTACACTTTAAAAAGAATCCAAACAGGGTAGGAAACGCAAGTAAGGTACACACCTTAATGGCTCTGTATTGATGTAACCATTAATCACAGTGGACATTTTATGTTCATAGTCTCAGATTAAATTAAAATTGGACTTTTGCAGAACATTTTCCTCTTATGTCATCACTTCAGCACAAAGGAAAGTTTGTTTAGGTACCTGTCATACAGTCTCTTACTAGTACACTTTTGCATCTTTTTGAGTGCCTTTAGGTGCACTTGCCATTATCTTCTCTAGCCCATGCCCTTGCCCCCACAGTGCCTGAGGTACAGGCACATCCCTAATATTTGGGGCCTTAAGTAGTTAAACAATCTCCCAATTATTATACATTGCTGTCTACACAGATATGGCAGGTGCCAGCCCTAGTAGTGCTAGAATGGGAATCCTGAGAGGGAAAACATAAGACATTTTCAGTAAAAGGGGAAACAAGTAGGGGCCTTCAGTGTACAGCAGAAATTGTGACAGCTCAAATTTCTGAAGTGGGTGGGAGATAAAAAGGATTGCAAGATACACAGGAATTTAAAAAAAATAAAAATAAAGGATTACTACTAAGAAGGAAGTGACCCAAACAGTAAAAGAAGGCGAGAGGAAACGCAGAGAACCCAAGAGTAATGAGTCCAGAAACAGAAAGAAGACCAGAGAGAAGCATAAGAAAACTTGATGGGAGATCTGGGAGGGGGGGACGGGGACGTCCTATGGTTCTCTCACCTTACCCACGACAGGCAAGCCATGCCAGTGAGTGATAACTCTCTCATGCATACCTGTCAACCTACAACCGCTTAAAGGTAATTTTATTTAACAGACAAATTTTGGAACTACCAGAAGGTTGCATGGGCAATATTAACTTGCAACCGCTTTCTGTCTATGCATTATGATTTTCTAATGATCATGTTTTCAAAAGGATCCCTGCCTCATCCAGTGCTACAGGGTGACTTTTGGAGGGGAAAGAGGTGATATTAAGGTGGCCCTAGAAACTTTAAGTCTGGTACATTTTAACTTTGTAACCTAAGTTTAAAAAAAAAAAAAAGCTTTCAAATTTTTGTAAATATTACACTCAGGAATCCTCTGAAAGTGCTGTCAAAAAAGCTGGTACCTACTGAATACTTTAGGCCAGGAAGCAAAACAATACTGTCCTCCAAGTTTGTTGGCTCAATGATTTTTGGCCCAAATAATGGTGTTAACACTCAAATTCTTGAAAAAACTAGTTTTAGTAGCTACAAGGGTTCAGAATCTCTATTTTCACCTCTAAACTTGCCATTAGCATTATATGAAGAATACTACCTAAATTTCCATCCCTTCCCTCAGAATCTAAACAATCAGGGTCACCAGTTAAGATAAATAAAGCCTCATTACACATAAGTATTTTAGTTTATTGAATTACACTACCACATGCTCAGCACTGAAGTGTATTACTCATTTTACAGATGACTGAAGAAACAAGTTTCAATTTTCAAGTCTCCTTGAAGATGATCTGCAAAATAAGGAAAAAAAACATGAGTTAATACATGTGGACAATCGTAGCTCTCAGAAGTAAATACACTAGTATGTATGAATTCAAACAGAGGCAGAAAGCGTTTATGCTAGAGTAGTTTAGTCTAGAGGAATTTCCCACCATTATTTCCTCATGGTCTATGACAATGCATTTGATAAGCAAAATTGAAACATGGAACAAATCAAGAGCTACACATTAAGATCTAGAACACTAGTGCCCAATCTTTTTGAACAAACAGACCCCTTTTCAATCTATTAAAATTTCACAGATCCCCCAAACAATATAGCGGTTTTCAAACATTCCATTACTTGATAATCATTTGAAATGTATAACAGTTCATGAAATTCAAGGGTAGAACTTTGGGGAGGGGAGGGGCACTTGTGCATGTTGGGACTTTGGCTTACTTTTGATCCTGTTCTCCAGACGCTAAGGGAGTGAGAGGAAAGTGCTTGCATGCATCTCACATCTGGCTGATGTGCAAGAGGCATGCATGACATGCAAGCACTTTCCCCTTGCTCCCTTAGCATCCAGAGAATAAGATTAAAAGTAAGCCATGTTCTGGTGCACATGGCCACAGGGGGACCGAGAGAAGGGAAGGGTTCACCAGGGTAAGCCCGATCCTTACTTTTACATTTCTGTGGACCCCTGGGGGTCCATGGACCACAGGTTGGGAACCATTGATCTAGAATAGTCTTCAAGATTCACTATGTATATGGTATCGATAAATACACAAGCGTATGACTCAAAATAACACATCTTCCTAAATAGCAAGAAGCCTGAAAAGAATGGAATGCAACTTCTCAGATAGGAGACTAAGGACATAAATACAGGTGGATTAATCGGAAAGGTAGAAATTCAAGTTTGTTCCATTTAATACAGAATAGTAATTTGACATGTGCAATCACAAGCCCTCAACTGCGTCCCATGACAAGTAATGCAATCACCACAACATCTATATTGTATGTCCCCATTACCACAGTATCTGAGCACCTCCCAGCCTTTGTGCGTTTATTCTCAACATACTTGTGAGGCAGTGCTACTATGCCCATTTTACGGCTAGAGAACTGAAGTGCTACACGTGCAAAGGCTAGATCAACAGAACTTACTGGTGCCTAAATGTTGGACTAAGGCATTTAAGTTCTTCAATACTCCTGCTCATTTGCCACGTAACTCTGTAGCTCCCACAAGCACATAAAAAAAAAAATGTACCAGTGAACATGCACTACTTCAGTCTAGATAACTAGCTTATGCCTAAACTCTAGAAGAATCCTACAACTAGCTCTCTCACATACAGAGCCAATAGGCCAAGGGTCAATGTGTGGCACGCATGCCGTAAGTGCCACGTGAGCTGATTTTGTGGGGCATGCGCAGTCTGCAGCAGGAGCTCAGCTGCTCCCCTGCACCATCCACGCAGCGGGGAGCCTGCACAGCCATGAGCACCAGCTCGGGCTTCCAGGTGCACAAGGGAGAGGGTTGAAGAAAGCCCTGACCAGCCCCAGCTCCCCACCTGCTTCCACTGGATAGCACAAGGACCCCGCACAGAGCCGGGACAGCCCCCCCCTCTACAGGATTGAAACCGCACCCCCATATGCACACCACTGTTGCTCCACCCACCCCAGCCCCACTGGCATGAAGGAGAAGAAAACAATGGAGTGGAGGAGTCTTTCCCCATAACCCCAAGAGCCCTGACCAGCCCCAGCTCCCCACCTGCTTCCACTGGATAGCACAAGGACCCCGCACAGAGCCGGGACAGCCCCCCCCTCTACAGGATTGAAACCGCACCCCCATATGCACACCACTGTTGCTCCACCCACCCCAGCCCCACTGGCATGAAGGAGAAGAAAACAATGGAGTGGAGGAGTCTTTCCCCATAACCCCAAGAGTCACCCCGGCTCCCCACCTGCTTCCACCAGGCAGCACAGGGACTCTATGTATAGTCACGGGACTAAGGTCCCGTCCCCC